TTCTTCATGTTTCTTAAATTTGAAGCACGCCACTTCAACTACCCCATTTCAACAACAATCTTAGTATGTGATTCATCATATTCCATTATCATTTACATTTCTTATATACCACTATTAAAAGAAAAAAAGTATGTTTTAACTATAGACGGACATGAAACCTTTTAATTACAAGCAAGACACTAGGGTATTTCACTTTATGAAAAATGTCATTTGTGACTTTCTTTTGGGGTAAATATTCCAAATAACAATGTACTTTTATTTAATATGTGTTGGTTTAAAAAATACTTAATGTTACATTTTGATATTTTTTTTAATCAACCCGTGTAATACACGGGTATTACACCTATATATATATATATATATATATATATATATATATATATATATATATATATATATATATATATATATATATTAGAAAAGTATCAATAATTGCAATATAATCATTTCAAGTCGGACCGAAACTTAAACCGAAAAAGATGAAAATCACTAGGATCAGTGTGAAAAAAATAAGTTAGGGACTAAATGTGCAATTTAATCCAACAAAAAAATGACCACTTATGTAAATTACTCTATAGTTAGATGTCTCTTACTCGATTTTAGATGTGATTGTTTATTCTTTTCCATGGATGGACTCTTAGAATAAATAATTAAATAGTATTTATCACTTGATTATCAGATGAAAAACTCAATTTACTCAAAACGAGGAAATGTCATTTAACTGTTTTTATTTTTTCTTAGTTTCCTTATGTATCACAAAAAGATGCAAAAATTAGGGGTGTCAATTTATGACACGACACGACAAAAATACAAGACACGAAACGAAATCGGGACGAAATCAAAATTCGAATTCGTTTTCGTGTCGTGTTCGTGTCAAGTACAAAAAACACGATGTTGTGTCGTGTTTACAAATCCACACGAAATTGACACGATTGAGCATGTGTTTGTCGTGTTTTTCGTTTTTGTCGTTTTTATCGTGTTATATATGATTAAATATGAATTAAATAAAATAATAGTCATGTAATATTATCTTTGTCGTGTCGTGTCGTGTTGTCGTTTTTTAATTGGTTCGTTTTCGTGTTAGTGAAAAAAAAACACGACATCGTGTCGTGTCGTGTTCGTGTTACAAAAAACATTGTCGTGTCGTGTCGTGTCGTGTCACACAAAAACACGACACGACGGCCCGATTTGACAGACCTATGTTCATGAGAGGAGTATATAGGTAGTGGCGGACCTATGTAGAGCCCGGGGGGTTCCCGGGCCACTACTCCGTTTCAGTCGTGTAGTGTAATTTTTTTTCTGTTAGGTGCAAAACCTTCAAAATATGAGTGTCACCGGTGCCACTACTATTCAAATATTGTGCGTCCGCCACTATATGTAGGATCGTTGTCTACGTTTTTTTAAACTCGAGGAGGTCTCGAGAAGAATTAACCTATATAAACGATTTAGCGGGGCTAATATTTTTTAAGGATAAGATTTCATCACGTCCTCCGTTTACTGTTTTTCTTACTCTCATATTTCTATTTTCATTCATTAATTCCAACATGAGCTCGTTGTTGATTTCGAAGAGTAAGAGTATGACATTTGATGTGATTATTGTTATGATGTGGTGGATGTTATCACTTATGGGGGTATTTGAATTTTCCTGGTTTTGAAGACAAAAAGACGATGAATGATGCTATGGTCAGGGGCGGTTCTAGTATAGGGCGCACGGTGGCCCATGCAATCTCTAACTTTTCCGGATATAGTGCAAAAATTTTCGAATTTTTTTTTCTACTATTGTACAACCCTTGATTTTCCCGTGCAAACTCTACTATAAAATCATGCGTCCGCTCCTGACTATAGTGGACTCCATGATTAGCTACTCTTTTAATTGGTCTAAGAATATGAATTGTAAAGTTAGTATTAATTGGATCGATGGGCTCCAAACCCTTTGAACTATATCCCGATGTGATTGTTTTTCTCTAACAACTTCCTAGTAAGTTTTAATCGAAACACGGAGCATTAAGTTGTTCAAAAAAGATTCTCCTTTTGTCAATGTCTTTAGTACAACACATTTACGAGTTGATTATATTCTAACTTTTATCATAGTAAGAAACATGTCACATGTTTAATTATATATTCCATCCGTCACAAAATTATAGTCCATTTTTCCTTTTTTGTTTGTCCCAAAATAATAGTCCATTTGTAAAAATAAATAACATTTTTACCAAAATACTCCCTCATTATTATTTAACCAATTAATCATTTAATGGAATATTAAATGCAAAGTGAAGATAAAACTGTCATTTTATTGAATAAAGTTAGTGATAATTAATGTTTCTTTAATCTATGTCTTTTTTGTCTGTGGACAATAATTTTGGAACGGATGGAGTATATAATATATATAGTATTATGGTACGCGATGAAAAAGAATTTATTTCTGTTTGATGTTGTTCAAGATATGAGTCTAGCGGTTAGTTATGTTGAAGAGGCAAATGGAGTTTTGTGATGGGGGTTGATTTTATATTTGTGAGATTCGAGTTTCTTGTAGATCTAAACTTCTTAAAGTAATTGAAAAGTTGAATTTTTTTTCCTGGCTTTTTCATGGTGATGTTTTACTTTTAATTAATTAAAATATCTAGATTAATCGTTCGGTTGATGATTATTTTTAAGAAATATTGTTCGAAACAGAAAAAACACTAGAACAATTTCAAAAGACACATCATCGACCTACCATATATTACTCATTTGATTCATTAGTCCTCTTGGATACCTAATATATATTTTTATTGAAATAAAGTTAAATGAATATTTGTGCCAAAATTGACACTCCATTTTAATGGCAGTTTTATCTGCTATATCGATTCATTGCCGCCGGGCGGCTTGTATTGTAAATTCTAATTGTCTTATTGTGCATCACTTTTTGTCGTTTTATGCGTATTGTAGAGTCAACTCTCATGCTCAACGTCTAATTTTGGATTTATCAAACCACATTTAAAAGAGATAAATTTTGTATTTTATTCATATGTAATCCGTTGTTAATAAAATACAAACTTATTGATTTAATTTATGTACACTTCAAAGATTTAGTTCAAACAATTATATATTTTGAAATAAAAGAAAGAAAGAAATAATCGAATGCGTATTTGAATGTGATACCTAAGAAAAAAATGCATTCCTTTTACTTGTGTGAAATAACACTCCATTTTTTGTTTCATCAATGTCAGACGAATACTTTTTATTTTCGTTTTAGCCAAAATCTCGAAAATATTTACCTTGAATAAAATAAAAGAAATAGGGTAACATTGTAATTGTACATGCATTCTAATTTGGCAATTTGGGAACAAGGACATTTCTTGTTTGAAGTTTCTATTGTGAATAAGGACACACCATGCTCGTTGAAGTTTTTCTGCTATTGGTCTTTATATAAAAGGATGCTCAAAGTACCATCCTTCATTTTATTTGCCTAATGAGAAAATTATAGATATTTTTTTTCACAGTTTACATCACATGTGAGATAGGTCTGAGATCAAGTTTGTGCCCCGCTAAGACTGTAAATTACACCCCACTCATACGTAAAATATAGCAAAAATGTCAAATATTTATATGGCACCTATATGACACCACATTTTGATAGAAAAAAACATCATTACACCCTTTAGCTTAAGAAATACAACAATAAGAAAACAAAAAGATAAGAAACAATGAATATACAAAGCAATCTCTGTAAACCAATTCATGCGAAAGACCCAGATTGCTTTGGATTAATCCTCCTCAACGTGTCACTTTCCAATTGGAGAAGCTATTTATTTTTTATAATAAAATTTTAAATTAATAGAACTCATTATCCATTTAGGTCATCGTACCAATGCCACTAATATTTCAAACATGCAACCTTAGCTTTTGCAAATACTTTTATATCAATACAATATCACTCATATTTCATCATATTTCAAAAATGGTCCCTCCTACCATGTTAGCAACTAATTTATACATTTTAATATTTAACTTAAATAGTAATAATTAATAATTATTTAGTAACAAATTAACATAAAATATAGTTATTTAGTGATACAAACATTTAAATAAACGCTAAGCTTTCTATGTACATAGATACTACACAAGATGTCAAAAAGCAAAGGTTAACTTTAAAAATAATTATATTATATAAATAAATAAATAACTTAACAGAAAAATAATTTTTTATAAAGTTGATATAACGATCTTTCTTAAATAATTTTGAAATCAACTATACGATTGGAAACGAATTTTGAATATTCAATATGGGTATATAATATTATTAAAAATTTAAATAGTCTATAAATGATATAGTATTATTAAAATAGCCCACAAATTACCTTTGCAAGGCTTTCGAACTATGAAAGACCAAACCCAACGTGGCTTTCAATTTGATTTTGCAAGTTCCTTCCAAAACCTGTTGTGGAAGCTCTTGGAGTCATATAGAGTCACAAATCTCATACTCTTGACGTGAGATGTGTTGGAAATATCAATAAATTGCAATCTTGTATTTGAATATAACAAAATTCAACTAACTATGTATTGTTTGTTATTATAGGGACTGGAAATGTAAAATGATAAAAGACGAGAACTGTTAGAGTTGGAAAGTCAAATAACTAAAGTAAAGCTTGAGGGGACTTAAAGTGAAAATTTGTCAAAGATAAGAAGGTTTACCGTTAGGTCCGGCAGTTCACTATCGATAAAATCTAGGGTTTTTCTATAAGTACCTCTCCTTTCTTAATTCCACCCCCATTTGATCTTTTGTCTTTTTTTGTTTTTTTTTGTTTTTTTCCTATTTTGTTTTTTAGTTGTTTTTAATTCTTTTTTAATTTATATTATTATTATTATTATTATAAATTTCGTATAAAATTTTAAAATTCAGACGACATTTTTTTTGTTAATTCTTTTTTAATTTATATATTATTATTATAATTGTTATAAATTTCGCATAAATTTTTAAAATTCGGACGACATTATAAAATTTTAAAATTCGGACGACATTATAAACAAGCAAAAATTTCGAATGGACAATTTGTTTTTCTAGACCCTGTATTTTTGGTGGACGTCTCCGGACCTCTTGATACACCACCCCGATCACACTTAAATATAATTTTTGAAATATATCCATATCCATGTCCTTTTGTCTTTGTTCTTTTAATAACAACCACGTATCCAAGAGACCGTGACGTTTCTTGCACCCACTCCGTTAAGTTTTCACGACTGCTAAACACCTAACAAATATAAATATATATTTGGCCAGTTTAAAAGAATTCCACTAAAAAAATAACATATAACAACTTACGATTAAACTAAAATTATCTATCAAAAATACATACCATGTTTGTGTGAAAACTTGCCATAAGGACGGAAGGAACGATCGATAATTTTGTGAATCGAATGAATCGAACGAATCGTTCGTTTATATAATGTATAAAGTTAAAGTTATGTCAAATCAGCTTCTTTATTATTAAAGATAAAGATAAAGATAAAGATATATCAAATCAATAATAATAATAATAATAATAATAATAAAAATAAACGAATAGTAATATTTCTATTATTAGGTGTACAATAATTAAAGTTTCTTTCTCAATATGTGAATCTTTTGAATTTGAAATATGACAAACAAGTAAATATAGTGGATAAGGAAAAGGAAAAGGAATCCAATGTAAGTTCGAAGTGTGTCAAAAAAGAAAAAAATGTTTTAGAAGTAAAGGATAAATGAAAAAAAAAACAAAACTTTTTTAAAATCGTTCCAAGTGGTTAGTTTATTATTATTATTATATATATATATATATATATATATATATATATATATATATATATATTATGTATTGTTTATTATATTGAAATGGTTCCGATATAACAAACACTTTTAGAAGTAAACGAGAAACTCGATTGCTAATATATATATATATATATATATATATATATATATATATATATATATATATATATATATATATATTTGTGTCAAAAAAGACAAAAAAATGATGTCAAATCAAATGTCAATAATTTGATTTGATTGACATTAGGGGGTAAATTAGACAACTTGAATTTGACTATTTGGTTGGATTTTTGGATTGGTTTTCAACAAAACAAAATTATTATTTTAGATTTCGGATTGGTTTTGGTTTATAAAATAAGAACCGAATAGTCCAAAAATACATAATAACAATTAATTAATTATTCATTTATAATATATCTATAATTATTTATTAATTTTATAATTTATTTTTTCAAATAAGTTCAAAAAATTTCACCTAATAAAAAACCTTAATATCCATTTTATCTCAAAAGTTTTTTACCTATTAAATATTAATCTATAATATATCTTTTTAGTAGTTGTTTATAAATTTTAAATCACAACTAAATAATTTGTTTTTGCTTCTTTTGTAAAAATTAAATATTATAATAATTATATGACGTTTTAAAATATTCTGGTTTTTGAAACCGAATTATAAAAACCGATCCAACCAAATTGTAATTAGACCGGATCAGATCGGATCTGAATTTAGTTTGGACTATTCGGATCCATATTTTGAAAACCGAAATCATTTTAGATTTACTTAATTGGATCGGATCGAACCGATCCATCCAAACGAACACCTTAGTTGGTCCTGGTCCACTGTTACGCATTATAAATTCGAGTGTTGAACTTTTCTCTTTGTTGAATTGGCATACAAGATGTTTTGTGTAGTTTTAAGAGAGTTTTTGTTCCATGATAAAAAAACCCAAATGTTCTCTCATCTTGACTCAGTGTTATGTTCATTCTTCTAATTGTCGTATCAGTGGCTTCTGTAGGTGTATATGTGTAATATAGAAGTCTTAAATATATTTGTGAGAGAGTGATTAGAATTAGGTTGAATGTATAGGTTAAAATGAGGTTTCTTTTTTGTAAAAGTATATCTTTGGATCTTAAATAATAAAAGGAATTGTTCTTGGTTATGATTTTATGTTTCTGAAAAGGATGCCTCAAGTGTGCCAAGAGTGGTCATAGGGGTCCAAGTTCACAAAGTAAAAAGTAAATAAATCCCCCTACGCCGGGTATAATACAAACTTGTCTATTTTGGATTATACATTGTTCCAAATGAGATCTTGTTATCTACCTATATACAAATAATGCAGAGTTAGATGTATGTTTGAAAGCTTCAATGGCCAAAACGATTTATCGTAATGCTTTGGAATGGTTTTGTTCAAGTATAAATTAAGAACTTAAAATTATGCACAAAAAACATCCCTAACATCACCTGTTTAGGGTTGTGTAAGCTAGCCAATCATCAACCAATTGAGTTATTTTTAAGCCTAAAATAAGGCCACGATAAAGGACTACAATCTTGGGGGAAATCAGCTCATTCTGAGTTCGTATGAAGTATTTATGGCTTTTCAAAGTTGGGTAAAAAGTTCACATAATATTGAAACAAAAAGCAACATCCCTAAGACCCTTGTTTAGGATTGTTTAAGTCATCTGTTTTTAACGAATTAACCTGTTTTTTTAGCCTAAAATGAAGTCTTTAACATCCCAAAAATCATGACCAAAAATTTTGGTTTTAATTAACTTATAAAAACGTTTACTGAAAAACATCATCGATATCATATCAACCCATAAACCCATAAGTCAAATGTCATAAAACATGTCATGGAATAATAATAATGTCATAGTACAATCCCAAGAACATCATAGTGCGGAAATCATGTATGTGTGCGATGCGCTGCTACCGTAAACTGTAAACTGTAAACTGTAAACTGAAAACAAAATTGTAAACTGTAAGCACGAAGCTTAGTGAGTTCCCCCATCATACCACATAACATATAACATGCATAATGTCAGGAAATTCTAGGATGCCTGACCTACCCATGTCGAGCCATTCTGGGGTGCTCGACTTACCCTGCCAGGCCATTCTGGGGTGTCCGACCTACCCACCGGTTTATCTCAACCGGCTATAAGGACTATTTCACCTCTACTACTACCACATAATATCATAGCATAAATGTACTGTCGGGCAGTTCTGGGGTGCCCGACCTACCCTTCGGTCCTTACGACCGCGACATGAGGACTATTCCCCTCCCACTACTATCACATATCATCATATCATGCTAACACATAAAACGTATCAGGTAGCATCAAACCTAGATAATTATCACAAAGACAATCATCTAGCAACAACTCCTACTAGTGGGCCGACATTGTGGCCGTATACCCACTTCTACTGGAAGGTAACTCACCTCAATGTCGTGAAATGTCTGAACTGTCCTCGATGTTGGGATCAACTCCTCTTAAACTCCTACACATAACAACCTTCCTTAATTATCATTTCATACTCCTAACCCTAATCAAGGGTCAACTCGGGTCAATGGTCAAGGTCAAGGTCAACATCATGGTCAAAGTCAACTTCTGGTTGACTCAACTCGCCGAGTTGGTCCACCAACTCGTCGAGTTCCATAACTCAGAGAATCTCAACTTCGCGATCCAACTCGTCGAGTTGCCCTCCAACTCGCTGAGTTTCTCTTATGACAGAATCGAGACTTTCCATTTGAGCTCGTCGAGTTCATCTTCATATCAATCGGGACATTGCCTTGAACTCTCCGAGTTCATCCTTGAACTCGTCGAGTCCTTTGGTCTTCAAGTCCATATTCACGTTCATCTTGTTGAGTCCTCTACCAAAATCAACTAGATTCCTTAGAAATAGAAAAGGTTGGGGAACCAATACCCGACTCGCTGAGTTCTATGAACGAATCGGCGAGTCCCCTAAAGTCCATGTCCATACAGTCGATTTCAGTTGAGCTCATTGCATCCATAACATAGATCTGACCTCCTAGGGTCGATATAACACGTAAAGTCACGAACTTTACGTCCATACATGGGTCTTCAAACTCAAAAGGCCCAAAGATGAAGTCTACAAGATGCATGGGGCTCTCATGACCATAAAGTTGGCACATTTATGCCATGAGAACCCTGCAAGGTTCAAGATCTGAAGTCATCACTCCTCCTATACCCTCTACACCCGAATGTGACTTAGAAATGCCCCAAAAATGACAAGATTCAAGCCCTAAAGATGACCTAACAAATGGAAAGTCAAGGTTGAAGCTTTTTACCTCAAACAAGCTGGAAATGCAACCAAGACTCTGGATCTACTGCCTTCTTCTTGAACCTCCAAGCCTTTCCTTCCTTCTCCAAGCTTCAAATCACAAAAATGGCACCAAAATAGCTCAAGAACACTCACAGCTGATTAGGGTTTTGAGAATGGGGTCTGAGGGTGATGGAGGCTGGAGTGGAGGCCACTTAATGTGTTTAAATAGGGTGCAAACCCTCAAATTTAGGGTTTTCTCCAGACAAGTCTACTCGTCGAGTCGGGGCTTCCGGCTCGGCGAGTAGACTCTTCCACCTGCGTCCAATCCTTCGCATCTACTCGACGAGTTGGGCCTCCAACTCGTCGAGTCCCAGAGTAAAATGCAAAAACTTATAATAAAGAATACATACCGGGAACCGGGCGTTACAAAGTCAATGCAGAGAACTACAATCTAGGGAAAAAATAAATTTTTTCGAGTTAGTATGAAAAATTTATAATAGTTCAAAGTTGGGTAAGAATTCTACAACCTAATTCATTCGTTGTTTTTCTAACAAAATAACATGGAGCGAGTGTCTACAACCTAATTCATTAGTTGTTTTTCTAACAGAAAAAGCATGGAGCGAGATTCTAAAAACGTGGGAAAATGATATTTGTAGTGAATCAAACTATCAATGTAATCAAATTTTAGGGAGAGACTTTGATGATGTATAAAACATGGGTCTTTTTAAGAACAATGACATCAATGTTACCAAGGAGATTAGAAATAGTTTTGATGTAGATAGAATAATTAGTAATAGTCAAGTCTCGATAGTAATGTTTCGAAGTTCTTTATCTAGTTGAATGTCTTTGGCATTTGTTTTATCACAAAACAATGTCCCTAGGCTGATCTATATCTGTCTAGCAGTCACGTTTTCTTTAGAATCATCTGGATGAGAGATTGGAAAATCTTTCCATAGATCCATATCTTGATGTTGGAGTCGATACAATTCCTTTCATATTTATTAGAAGCGATTGGGGCTTTATTGTTTGGCTCGAATAAATGATCAGAAACACCAAACTATCTATAATGGGTTTAAAAAACTCTCTCCATGGTTCATAACTGAAACGATCAAGGTCAAAAATAAATGAAAAGATGTTGGGTGTTTTCAGCAACTAGGGCAACGAAAAGAGGAAAAAATGGAAGAAGCAAATAAATATATTAGTAAGAGATGATCAAAGGATCAAGTAATTATCTTTTGCTATGATACCATGACAAATAAATATTTTTTCATAACGATTCATTCTCATTAGTTGAAAATATATAAATAAAACATATATATATATATATATATATATATATATATATATAATGGACCAAACTATATACTGGGCCGAATACATAAAGATAAATAAAACCCAATATACAATTAATCTAATATGCTAATATAATGTTAAGATATAAAATTCTACGGTTCAAATTTTGATACGGCTAAGTTACCATAGTATTTCAAAAAACAGATAAGTTAAAAAAAATGTTTGACGTGTCTTTATGGCGAAAAATTCAATCGAGAATTTTTTAATAAGGATAGTAATTTGTCCATAACACAACAATTTTTAGTCATACATAATACATACATAATAACTTATGACAATTTTTAGTCATACATAATAACTTATGTTTTAATGATTATACTGTATATCTATATAAAACATAATTCTGATGTGAATGACTTACGGATCAACCTTTTAAAAAAACCAATTAACTATTCAAAAAAAAAAACATTTTTGAGGTTAAAAGGACTCCCAAACACCACAACACCACTGAGTATTTGCGATTCGGTAATCGGATCATAACCCCCAAATTTCACGCATAGGAAAATGCCCAACAGGAACAACGACGACGACAAAGGCTTACTATGGAAGCTGCCGGTGGCCTATTCTAACAAACTTGGTAAGCTGGGCCCTGCGTTTGGTCTTGGCGCCGGTTGTGGTGTTGGTTTCGGTGTTGGACTGATCGGAGGTAATCCTTTTTCTCGTTTTGATTTTTAGTCCATCGAATTACTTACCATTTAATTTGTTGTACCCAGAAATCAAAATTGATTCTCAAAAACTCTATAAGCTACGAATCCAACTCAACAAAGCATCTTAACCCTTTCGAAAATGAAATTCCTGGAGTTTGGTAGCGACTGTCCCCAATGATTTAGGGTATGAACGAAATTCGTTTTCATAACCCTAATTAAATTATCGTTTTTCGAGAAATTTTTGTGCTTATCGGATGTTAAACACACTGCTCCTTCAAATTCCAATACAGAATCATTCATAACATTAACTTAGTGTATCACTCATTCAATCTTTATTTGTATTTGTTCTGGAGTTATGCAAGATACATGTTCCTTCAGGTGCTGGATTGGGTCCTGGAATCCCCGGTTTACAGCTTGGTTTTGGATTTGGTGTTGGATGTGGAGTTGGTCTTGGATTTGGTTATGGCGCAGGGAGAGGCATTGCGTATGATGAGAATAGGAAACACTCAAATGTAGGGAGGTTATTCAATGGACCAGGCAGTATGCCTACTCAGTAAGTTCCACTTGTACTTCATTTGGTGTTTACTGGTTTGTGCAAAACACCTAAATGCCCTTGGGTCTTCATCATTGAGAATAATCTTGAAAAGCTTGTATGCCTTTATTGCACATTAATTACAATGTATCTGATCTTCTTTTGAAACTGGCTTGTTGATACAAGGGATGAAATTGGTTATCTCATCGAGGAGGTTGTGGTGAACACCAAGAAGCTGATCAAAGCAACTCACAAAGAGGTGGAAAAGTGGAGACGATATTAGCAGCAGATCTGTCATGGTATTTATATGATTCCTGGATGTTTGATATGTACATAAGAAAGATGTTTCTACGTTTTGCAACTTTAAGTCCTTGATTTTTTAATATGATAAAACAGTATGTGAATGAAGTTGGTGATGATAAATCCTTGAAAAATGAAGGAATCTATACATTTTGGTGGAAAACTGTTGCATTTCTGATTTAGGTTTCTACAAAGGTGGAAGATCAAGTACAACTAAACAAAATCATCTTTCAGTAAAAAATGCTTCATCGATTATAAGATATGTACCTTTTTTTTTTTGACTTAATAGACTTCATGGTTAAGCACTTAATCTAGACTACTTTTCTGACAACTCCTTTGCCATTAAAATTGATTAAATCAACTAACAGAGAACAAATTTGGTGCTATTGTCATGTACTCCTATTCAATTTAGAAACATAAATTTCATTTGATTAATATATTGCTTTAGAATCCAAAACTCCACAAGTATTCGAATAATTATTTCAGGCTATTTTTTACTGTTGCCATATTTTTAATAGATTTTTATATTGATATTTTTATTTTTTTATTTATTTTAAAATGGTTAACTCATACACCCACTTTGACTAAAATCATTTCCAACAACTCTTTGTCCAGTTGGGCCTCATACCCTTCGTTTAATAAATTTATTGGGTTGCTAAAACAAAAATATACCATCCTAAAGCAAACATAGGAACCTAGTCAAAACTCAACTAGAAGTGCTAATCTTTTCATCCATTAACCATGTTATTTGCAAGCAATAAATCTATTCTTATTCTTTCAAAATCACGAGAACTTTCTTTGCTAACCATTGTTCGTGTATATGATTGTATCTGTGTGTTTGTATTTCGTTTAAAGTGTTGGCCCATTGTGTGTTCTAGGGTCCTACCTATAGTCTCTTGTAATCTCTAAATATTATTAAAAGAGAATCTTTAATTCTAAATTGAAGAAATCATAACCATTGATTGCATTTGAATCATATATTTTCTACCCTTGGATTATTTGTCATCATCTTTGTCAACCCCATTATTTTTGTCCACAAATTTTATAAAACATATATTACGTTTTAAATTAGAAAGTCTATTAATGACAATTAAATCTCACAAAAAATAAAATGAATTAAATTAGGAATTCTATAATGACAATTAAATCTCATCAAAAATAAAATTAATTAAATTAGGAATTTTATTAATAACAATTAAATCTCACTAAAAATAAAATGAAAAAAATGCTCCGCCCCATCCCTCATTATCAGTACCCCTACACTCTTTTCCTTTTTTTCTTTACATAATTTATCTAACCTAAGTTTTGTAGTGAGAAAGAAAATGGGGGAAAAAATAAATAAAATATATGTGGGCTTCGATATGTGTAGATCAGTCTTGTGTTCGATCATTATGAAAGAAGGAGGAATGATATAGAGATAAATTTCTTTGGATTCTACTTTAATTGATCGTAGTTTTGATCGATTTTGGGCACGTTTTAGATTATCTTTCTTTTATTATGTTTCAACTATGAAGTTCCAATCTATAAAACCTTTCGATTTAAGTTTAAATCCATATTGGTTACATTTTCTGAATCTACTTCGATTTTTGTTCTTATGATCTGTATTGTTGATTTTGATTTTTTAAGTTATAGATATCTGGAGAGCAAAATGATGGATACAGCAGCACCGCTACCTCTCATCCATTGTTTCGATTTGGAAGATATGTCCACTAGGTAGTGAATTGTATATGTCGATTTTCTTTTTTATTTTTACATGTTTGTATATGCATTTAGTCAATGATTTTTTTGTGGCTTACAAGTCATGAATGGAAGATATACTCGAGTCAATATCTGTAATGTTTTACCCATTCGATCCCTTCTTGGATTTGGAGATGGAATTTAAACCCTTATACCAGTGAGTGATCGACATATTCTACAACTCAACAAAACCCAATGATGATGTGTGTTTTGATTTATTGTAAAAAACATCTTTTAAAGATACAAATTGGGCTCTCAGAAATAAGTTATTCACCTATCCTTTTTTAATATTACAAAAAAACATCTTTTAGACTCAATAGCAAAGAAAAGACAAAGTTTTAGTATATCATGTAAATAGATTACATCGATAAATCTTATTGGAAAAGGTTTGGGATTGATTAATTTTGGTTTATTAGCAGGTTTTTTTTGGTTAACTTGCGTTGTCTGGGCATGCCGAGAAGCATAGTAAGAACATTTCACAACCTTATTCTTTCGTCTAACTGGTTTGAATCTTCTTATTGAGTTTACTTTCTCAATGATAAATGGGTACACCATACACTCTTGAAAATAGGGTTGGGAACATTGTGAGTATCAATGTTTTCTCAGCAATAAGAGAAGATATTAGTATAAAAGTTTCAATATAAATCATTTTTAATTACATAATAATAACTAAACAAAGATATGTGAAGGATTATCTTTATAATTTAAATTGCAATATATAACATAAAAATCATATGAAATTTTCATTATGTTCCATTCCATGCCTCACAAACATGTTTCTGGAATGGAATTACTTATTCTATTATCTTGCTTTTACGATTACCCATCCATTCCATTTCTTTGTTGTTCCATTCTTTGCAACCTCACATATCTCAAAAAAGTAATTCAGAAATCCATCATACAATAGAAAATGTTTTATAAACTCCTATAAGAGAAGAAGAAAGATAAGACTAAATGAGTGTATGGTGTTAATCTAATTATGATGTTCTTTCATCTCTATTTGCATGTTTCTAGCTTGTTTGTAGTATTGTCTATAAAATATTGTTGTTATATTCGAAAGTTCATTTTACCATTTTCATCTTTTTGTGTGTATATTTTTAATCTTTCAGGTTTTTTAGAGTATTTGAGGGGCCGTTTCTGCTTGGGAGTGGGGTGAAGTCAAGGGCCCTAAAACTAGAGGGTAGTTGTATTTAGAGCCACTTAAATATTGAAGATTTTTGTTGGCATTAATTTCAATAATAATATGTACCTTAGAAGAGATATCATAAGTATAGTTTATTTTTTATAACGTTTTTTTGTATTTTTATTAAATGTTGTACAGGTGATGTCTACAAGGTGTTGATATTTTTTTGTTGGCAAATTATTACGTTAGCTAACACCCCGATAATCTATAATATTTGTATAAGATGGTGACAATTATTATTTTTTATTGCAGCTTCTCTTCATATTGATTATCCAATGTGGTCCGAGTTTTGGAATGTTGCCACTGAGAGGATTCCACATTGTGGGGCGTTGGAATTCATTACAAAATGAGGCATGATTTATATGCCTTATATCGGGTATTGATGGAAATGTTTAATTCTTGCTCATATAGATCGATAAGTATTTTACAATATGCTCTTTTAACCTTATATTAGGACATTTTCTGAAAAAAATTGCTTTTAGTATTGAACTTTGAAAGAAAAAAAAATCATATATATCATCGTACTCTTAAAAAAATGACTTTTTTGGATTATTTTTAGTTGATATGGAAAGTTACATTTTGTGTATATCGAAGATCATTTAAAGGATTGTTTTCTGGGAAAAAAATATTCATTAATAGCATTAAACTTTGCAAAAAATTTCATTAATAGCATCGAAGTTTTAAAAAAGGATTTTTTCGTATTCTTTTTGGCTAATCTAGAAAAGTTTTATTTTTTATGTTCATTAGAGCTCATTAATAGGATTTTTTAAAAACATTTTGTTAATGGAAAATACATTTTCATTTTCTTTCGCATATAGACCATTTATATAAAAAAAACAATTCAAATATGGACCATTTATGTATTTTTGTTCACAAGTGAATCATTTATGTAATATATAAATTTAAATGTTAACTAGTAGGTCATTAATATGACAATTTTCTAAGGAAAATTTGATTTTAATATTGAAATTTGCAAAAAAAAAAAAAAAGTTCATTAACGGCATTGTACTTTAAAAAAAATATTATTTTGGATTATTTTTAGATGATATTGAAACATTTCAAAATTTCCTACATTTAAGCTTATTTGTAGGACAGTGTTCTGGAAGCGAATTTCATTAATAGCGTTGAACTTTGCAAAAAAAATTCATTAATAGCATCGTACTTTTAAAAAATAACTTTTTTGGAATTCTTTAACTGCAGGTTGAATGCCTACCTTGATGAACATATGTGGATAAATCTTTTTGGAAAGGGATAAAATCCTGATATGACAACCCGAACAAGAAAAAGAAAAACCCAGTTTTGACTAACCCAATTTATTCAAAATCTTTATTCATTTTAGTAGCTTACACACCATTTAGATGCTCTCAAAATAGCATATGAAATAACTTATGTAATAATGCTAAAATTTTATTTGACATGCTTTGTACTTTCTAATTATCATTACCAGGAAACCTTTGAAGGATTTTTTTACCAGAAAGAATGTGATCAATATACAAAACAATGTTGCATATTCAGAGCCTAATGTTCTTAATTTACTGTAATAAGGTCTTCCTGTAATAGTTGATTGGCCCTACCCAACTATCCCATGCAAGGTAGTGGATTTATGTTGTTCTAAATGTGTTAAAATGCTTCACTTAGGTGCTACTCAACACATGGTCTGCGGACTATCCACATTGATTTCATGATTGAGAAGAACACATCACATCGACCAAGACCAGACCATCAACCATATTAGTGACCCCCACTGAGATTAGCAATGTAATTTGAGTAATCATCCAAAACAGGCAATGAACTTTGAACTGTAGTAAATCTAAAATCAATTCCTAAATTGTACATCAAACTTCTAACATTAAACCTCGAACATTTTTCAATTAATGTTATCGAGTTGATATGCATTTGATTATTTAGGTATATCGTAAATTGTTTAGCTTCATCTATTGAATTATGGCGTGAATGTAAAGTTTTACGTTTAACCGTAAACATGAGGCTTTAGTTTGGTTGTCTAACTAATGATTTGGATGAGACAAAAGCATTTGATGAGTGGATTCTTAAAATTAGTGAAGGTAATATTGGTGGCCCTAATGATGGTGAAGTTGAAGTTGAATTTCCAGAGGACGTTGTTGTTCGCTCTACAGGTGACCATATTCATTCAATTGTATCCACCATTTATCCATCATTTGAAAACCATCTTAATGATCCATCATATTTTCAAGATAAAGCTATTTTGGTACCTACAAATGAAGAATTTGATGCTACCAATGACTACATTTTAGGATTGATGAAAGATGAAGGGAAAACATATATGAGTTCAAATTCTTTATGTGAGATAGAGTTACCATATTTTTTTGAGGAATCAATCTACTCTTCAGTTGTGTTGAATGGTTTTAAGGCATCTAGAATTTCCAACCATAAACTTACACTAAAAATAGGTGTTCCAGTCATGTTACTTCGTAATATCGAGCAAACCAAAGGACTATGCA